TTGGATAACAGTTGTTTGTTTTAAAATGTCTAGAAATAGTGGGGAATTCTCAAAGTCCCGGTGATGTCTTTAATGTCTTGTATTGTTGGTCCCAAACCAAAATATATTCAGTTTAAAATGAGGAGAAAAAAACCGAGAATCATTTCCACATTTGATTTATATATGAACAAATTAGTTGATGTTTATTTTTCTGCCGGGTGAATTATTATATTGGATTAGTGAACTTATCTTTGAAGCTCTAAATAAATGTAAATGAAATAGGAACAGGTTAAAAAAGCCTCAGGAAATTGTTCAATTAATCAGAAATATATAGTATATGACCTTTTCCAACATATGTTAAAATCATATCTTCTGCTACAATCATGTCTTACACACACTTCCTAACCTGTAAGCTTGTCATGTTTCCCTGTGAATTATTTGTACTGCGTTATGTAACCAAATACTATATTCACAGGCACAGCCCTGGTGCGGTTGTAGGCTCTTCTCTTACATAACGTGAGAAAGTGAAAACCTCATTCATGGTCAGCGAGGCTCTCCCCAGGGTGTTTAATTAATCAAGAACTCAGTTTCGGCACCTGCCAATAGGGCACAGATTGTGGGTGGAGGGACGGTCAGCCTGAACTCGGGGTCGAGCTCTGCGGCCGGATCAATGGAGGAACAATGGAGGAACAGCCATTATCAGGTTATGAATGTTGGTGAGGGTGAGGGTAGATGGGAGCCATTGGCTGAGCAGCGTGTCTTCCTGCTGCCACACGTGCCCATCCCCACTGACCCCCAGTAGTGTCCAAAAGGCCGGCCTGAATCCTGTGTGACCTTTTCCACTAACCCCGGTGCAGGGGAGGGGCTTTTAGTGCAACGACAGGGGGGGTTGTGGAGAATATAGGACTATGGCGTTTGAGCTGAGTCACAAAAAAGGCTCTGAGTCCTCTTCACATACCCTGCTGTTGTTAAAAACACTAGTTATGAACCTCTGCTCCAAACTGTTAACACAATCCCAGATTCATGTGACTGCAGCTACTTTGGGATAAACAGCCAGACTGTGCTCTGAGATCTGTTACATTCAAATGTAATTTAGAATAAATCACACAATCAAACCCATGAAAGACACTGCACACGTGTTGAACCACTCTTTGTCCAGACAGATATTGCAGGTCCATCTAAGTGAAGCTGGCTGTTGGTTATTTATTTGTTGTTATATATTGCTCATTTCAGTTTCATAAACAATGTTGAAATAATCTGAGGAACAACTGCATTGCACTTTCATACTTTGCAATAATAAAATCAACAATAAAAAAAACAGGTTAAATTCATGACAGACAGACAACAGTTTGATAAAAAAGTAGATTTAAAAAAAAAGATTTATTTTTCACTGCCAATTTTATTTGAAACCAGCCAGAGTTAAAGTTTGGTGATGCCTTAAAATACAATGTGCCTTATCGCCACTATCTGGAACGACTCAGTACTACAACACCCACACTTCTTTTTCTTTTTTAAAGGTCACCTATTATGCAAAATTCACTTTGTCATGTCTTTTATACATAAACATGTGTCCCCTCTGTGTAAAGAGATTCTGAAAGTTTCAGGAAAAAAGATTCGCTCACTTTTTGTCCTGATCCATTTATAAAAAAACCTGTCTGAAAATGAGCTGATCAGATTTAGGCCACTTTATGATGTCATAACGATGTTTTGGCTTGTGTAACCATTAGCCAATCACCAACCAGTAGCGTGGCGTGGGTAAAAAATTAGGGGAAGCCAATAATACGTCCTTTCTTTTGGGTCGGGGGTGTGGTGGTCAATGTAATAACGTAACCAGATGAGTGATTACAGCACCCGGTATCATTTTACACAGATTTGTATCATACAGATTCAGGACTTACACACGCCTGTTATCTGACCGACAGGTCCGCACGCACTCTCCAGCCGAAACTCTAATAAGCATTCATTCACAAACTAAATCAGGAGACCTTTAACGTTTTACGTCCGATTCGCTCCTTTTTT